GGGGGGGGGGGGAGGAAGAACAAAGGCAAGTACGCTCCCCACCGTTGAGATTCACCCAGCGTTGTGGACAGCGACCATAAAAGAGGAAAAAACAAATTATCGAAAAAATTTTCTCAGATCAAATATGACTCCTCCCTCCAGCGAGCAGATACAACCCCGTTGTTATTCCCCAACATAGGGAGGGATCTGTCGCAGTCGACGACCAGCGAAATTTTGCACTTTTGCTACTTTCCATCGACATCCTGTCGACCCATCCTGTCGACCCGTCTAGAGCCTTTCGTGAGTTTACAAGGGTTGACAATTTTATAAAGGTGGCTCGACGAGCTTGCTCCAGCTTCACAAGAGTTCACGGTTTCACCAGAGTGAGACTTGTAAACCGGAAGCTAGTGAAGCAGCGAAAGTGCAAAATGACCCCCCCCCCGCCGAAATGCGCCCAGGAACTATTAGGAGCTGGAGCTATTCTTGAAGAAAGTTTTTTAGATATAGACATGGACTCCCTACTTCTAATTCTTTGATCACACCAATTGCACGACTGTTTCTCTCTTTTTCGCAAGTATGTAGATCAGTGGCTGAATTATTAAAAATCCGATCGCCTTGGAGGGCTATAAAGTAAACCATATAAAAGGGAATGAAAAAGAATAAGGAAAATGGGAGGAATGGAAGGTAGAGAGATAAAGCCTAGCCTAAGTGCGAATTCAGTTTGTTAACAAACGTCCCACTAGAGCTGCTGAACTTGCCTATAATTGAAGAAATGTGGTCGGTTATCATTTTTATTTCTTTTTTACTCTCTACTCATTAATCTTTGGGGCGGAGGTGATGTAACGGCAGGTGGCACGGTCCCGGGACCAAATCCCGAAGAGCTCAAACCCAGGCCAACCAAGCCTGCCACCCTTCGGTGAAGTAAATCGGTACTACATTCGTTTGATAGGAATCGCTGACTTATGTATCGCGTGGCCCTCGCAACCCATTGTATAGGCCACATTTTGAATGGTAGAGAATGAGTGCCGCTCCCGAAGAATCAATGTTCTTTACTCTTTAGTTTTTGTATGAGGATATTCTTCAATTAGCGGCGTACAGAAAACTATTTTCAGCGCTCATGATGGTCATGGATTTCATGTGGATGAAGAACTGACATCACACAATAACCATTACTATTTTGAAATTAAGCTGTATAAAACTTATTGTTGTGGCTGGTCAAGCTTGTTGCAGTTTTCCACGTATCCGCTATGAATGCGAGTCTAAAAAGTCAATGGGAGGGTTTACTTGGTAGCCCTACAGAACATATCGTTCCTACATATGTCGTCTCACAGAAAACATGCATATCAACGATTTCAACCAAAGTTTTTGGTGCACTAATTTCCGACAATGAGAAAGTATCAGGCGATTCTGCTGCAGGTTTTGGTGACGCTCTTTACGTGGAGCACAGAAGCTTCCATAAGATCACTTCCACTCAAATGGATGGGATGGAGAGCGTAGGCA